TTGTGTTTCTCTTACACCCTTAACTTTCTTCAGTTTCTGCAATACTATGCCACAGATACTCACCCTCCATCTCCTTTGCCACCTCTTCCTCTCCCTACTATTGCCTGGGGAGCTGATAGTTAGGGTTGGTTCTAACCTTGGCAGCCTCAAACTTAGGCAGATTTCATAAATCTGGACCTTGAGTATGAAGCTTTCTCAGTGTTCTTGTCACTTCTTCCCATGGCAGCAAAAACTCCATAGTGATGGAAAGAATTTTGTGTCTCCCACCTCCCACCCCCACCCAACTCCGGGCAATTGACCTTTCATATTATTGCAGATGCTTAATTCCCAAGTAGGTTCCTTCAGCCTTCCTCAACCAAGAGACAGATGGGTTTTGCTTGTCATTCCCCTTCAAGGCAGGATTAGTGGGTTTTACCTTTGGATTTAGGAATAGAGGTTTGGCATTCCTTGGTATTCAATTTTCTTGGTTGCTTTTTGATCTTGTTATTCTGGTGGGTTGAAGATAAGCTATGAATTTTCAGATTGTATGATTTCTCTCTTATTGTTAGTACTTATGCTTTCTTTGGAAGCAAAATATTTCTTCTTTTTTTTGTAAGGGAAAAGCACAGTATTTTTATTCTTTTTTTAAAAAAATTTTTATTAGTGAAAGACCATGAAGTACAGTTGTAGATTTACAAATTTTTGTGCTTGGGTTTCGATTATACAATGATCAAATACCCATCCCTCCACCAGTGCCCATTTCCCAGTACCATGGATAATATCCCTCCCACCCCATCCCCCCCATCCCACCCTGCCTCTGTGGCAGGGCATTCCCTTTCGTTCTCTCTCTCCTTTTGGGTGTTGTGATCTGCAAAAGAGGCATTGAGTGGCAGACATGTTCAGTCCATAGTCTACTTTCAACATGCATCTCCCCTCCTGGGAGGATCCTCCAAACACCCTTTATTTGGTGCTCCCTTCTCTATCTGAGCTGCCCTTTCCCCTAGAATACCCGGCTGGCCTCTAAGCTATGGAGTAATCCTCCTGGTGCTGATCTCAGCTATTCTTGGGTATTAATCTCCTATTTTGTTACTTTATGTCCCCCAGATGAATGCAATCTTTCTATGTCTATCCCTCTCTTTCTGTTTCATTTAGCTTAGCATGATACTTTCCATGTTGTACCACTTGTATGTAAATTTCATGACTTCATCTTTTCTAACAGCTACATAGTACTCCATTGTGTAGATGTACCAAAGTTTCTTTAACCAGTCATCTGTTCTTGGGCATTCAGGTTTCTTCCAGTTTCTGGCTATTGTAAAGAGTGCTGCAATGAACAAACAAGTGCAGATGTCACTTCAACTATACATTGCAAAATTTTTCTTAACCATTCTTTAGAAATAGCTTATTTTCTCAGGACCTCAGTTATAAAGACAATTTGGGTTGCAGAAACTTAATTATTTTTAAAACATTAAGACCATTTCATCAGAAATACTTCCTTCAGGTCACACTGAGAAATAATTCATGCAAAACACAAGAGTTAAGAGTCTGTTTTATAAGATTCTTTTCCCTGTGACAGTAGTGGGCTGGAGTGATAGCACAGCAGGTAGGGCATCTGCTTTGCATGCGGCCAACCCAGGTTCGATTCCTCTGCCCCTCTCAGAGAGCCCAGCAAGCTATGAGAGTATCTCATCCGCACGGCAAGCCTGGCAAGCTACCCGTGGCATATTCAATATACCAAAAAGAGTAAAAACAAGTCTCACAATTTATTGTGAGATGTTACTGGTGCCCACTCGAGCAAATGGATGAACAAAGGGAGGACAGTGATAGTGACACTAATAGATGGGATTTTATCCACAGTTGACTCCAATGGGTAGGCAAAGAAATAGAGTATTATTACTTCATTCTGTGGCAGTTTTAAGGAAAAGGAGCATATTGCTCTAACTGTAGGAAGGCATCAAAATTGTGATATTTACCAATTGACTTTTCTGCTTTCTTTCCTGAATTTGAGATGGGTGAAGAGTTCAATCATTACAAATTTGACACATGACAAACCTGCTTTCTTTCTGGTATACTTCTCTCTTTCTCTCTCACTTTTCTGGCGCTCATAATATTTGTCTCTTAGACATCTGACTTGAGTTCTATTTGAACCAGGATGTCAGTGTCAATTACTCTTCCTTTTATTATTTTTCTAATTTATGGGATATTTTATTATATTTTCCTTTAAAGTTCTGTATCTTTTGCTTCATTTCTGCTATTCTATATTTCTAAGGTGTCATTTTTGGGGGTGCTCTTGATTATTTCTTTTTCTGGTATCTGATTCTTCATTGACACTGTTTTCCCTCTTGAGGGTGTTGGGCAACTTTATTTGAAACTACAAAACTTGCTTGCCTTATCTCTTTTTCTCAAGTCAGTAACTTTCCTCAGTTGTTTTTTTAATCATGACAACTTGCTCATATTGAGATGGTGTGATTGGAAATAATGAGTGGGCATATTGGCTGTAAACTTCATTGTAGGATGGTCTGGCTAAGGGAGTTGTTAAGGAATTCTGACTTCTGTTCTCTTGATCAGATCATGTTTTCCTACAGAAGGACCTTTAATTTTCCTTCCTGGCTTATGAGTAGTGATTCCTAGTACTGTAGAAATAGATTTGTTGAACGAGGACAAGGTCTCAATATTTGCTGCTCACCTGGTCACTGATTTGATTGCCCTCCACCTTGCATCTTTCTTCAGATCACAGATCTTGTGCTTTACTTTACTAGAGAACAAATCTCTAGCCTTTTGGTCTGTTTGTTTTGTTTTGTTTTAGGCTATAACAGGAAGTGCTCAGGGATTACTTTGGGAGGACTCAGAGACCAAATGGGGTGCCGGGGATCAAACCCTATCAGTTGCGTGCAAGACAAATGCCCTACACTAACCACTGTACTATCTCTCTGGCCCCCCAATCTCTGGTATTTAAAAATATATATATTATAAATTTGTTCACAATATTTGATTACATTTAATATTTAAACACCAATCCCAACACCATCATACCTTCCCACCGCCGTATTTCCACCCTGAACCTCAAACCCTGTCCCCCCACCCCAATAGAACCAAAATAGTTTATTCTGTATTACTTGCCAAACCTCTCATCTTTAGTCAGGTAATGAAGAGGAAGATCTGAGAAGAGAGGAAGGAGTGAGTAACTACATCACAGTCTCTCTTAATTTTTCTTAGTTTACGGTCTGCCTTCAACTTTCAGGAGTATCTGTTGCCTCTTATGTCTTTTAGGGTCTTGAACTGTAAAGCAGAATGCTTCTCAATTTGTCGCATTTCTGACTTACAAGTCTGGATCTTTTTTTTGAAAATATACTCTAAATGATTTACTACTTTTCCATTTGCTTTCATTCTCCAAAATTTTATTACTTTTCTAACCTCTTCCATTCTCCCAGTTCTTACAGTTTAATATCATTTCTTAAAATAATTCTTTTACATTAATTTTAATAATGGTACAGAAGGGAATACATTTAGGTGTGTGTATTTAATCTGCTGTTCCTGAGTTTGTCTTCCTTTCTCTCCCTTTCTCCCATTTTCATTTACTTAGAAAATTATTGGAGGGCCTGGAGTGATAGCACAATGGGTAGGGCATTTGCCTTGCATGCGGCCGACCCAGGTTCGATTCCCAGCATCCATATGGTCCCCAAGTATTGCCAGGAGTAATTCCTGAGTGCAGAGCCAGGAGTAACGCCTGTGCATCACCAGGTGTGACCAAAAAAGAAATAAAAAAGAAAGAAAATTATTGGAGAGTCAAAAGTTGAGAGGGTCTTTTAGGCCTGTATAAGGACATTGACCAACTTGCAATGAAAATAGTTCCTGAGTGTGGCCTGCAGCAAATCAACATTGCACCAGAGAGACTAGTTGGGAGACTGTGGATATAAACTAACACAAGCTTGGATCAAGTGTGCTGCAACATAGGTCCTTGGGAAACATTTTGAAAATAGAGAGGCCCTGTGCAAAATGTCAGGTTCACTGTCAGGTGGAAACACCTGCAAAGGATAGTTGAATACTCCTAAGTGCATTCCCAACAAGAAGTTATATGTACATCGAAAACAAAAGCAATAAAAAAAATGTCCTAGAAAAGTAACAGGCAGGCTGGTATATGTAATGATGTATAAACTAAATAATGTATAAGCTGTATATGTTTTTCAAAAAACCTATATATACCAAAACATCTGTATTACATGTTTTAATCATGTTTGCTTATGAGAAGAAGGGTGGCATTATTGGGATATCAGGGAAAAGAAAATGAAATAAATGAACCGAAAACAACTAATCGGAGGAAAGAGATGACTTTTGCATACTGGAAAGACCCAAATAGATTTAATCATATAGTTTAGGGCAGTTTGTACAACTTTTTGGAAACTGAGTTTCCGACTCTGTAAAATGGAATAGTAGTATCTATGTAACATGTCTGTCATAAAAATTAAATGTGGGGCTGGAAAGGGAGTTTGGGAGTTTGGATAGTATGGAAGTTAAGGGATATGCTTTGCTTGTAGCTGATCCTTGTTCTATTTCGGGAACTACTTGGTCCCAAGGGAATGGGGGGGTCCTGAACACCATCACTGGAGTGAATTGGGTAATTCCCAGCACCAGCGGACCCAAGAAATACTATATCTTTGGGCCATTGCATCGAGCACCTGGTGGTACAGTTGACTGAGAATCACTGGAAGTAGTCTTTTGAATCTCTGAACACCACTTGAGAAGACACCCTCAAAAAATTAAATAAGAAAATTAAAACTGGCTAACAAAATATCTGCTGTACATTGGATTCTCAATAATGATTAGAGTTCTAAAAAAATTATTTAGGTATTGGGATATACACTATTGTTATTCATACGTATGCTTGGTACTAGATTTTTTTTGACTACTCAACAGAAAAATTGTTGGGGATTTATGGAATGAAAACTATGCATGAGATTCTGTTCTTGCCAGGCAGGGTTTCTGTTCTGTTACCACATTTAAAAAAAGTTCTTCTCTCAACACAGGGCTTGCCACCCAAAAGATGGAATGCCGAAGTCAGTCACCTGACCTGTCCAGAGCCCACTGTGTTCGCCTTCTTGCCTCTGGCTCCACGTCGGAGCTCTTTGCGAGAGATGTGGATACCAAGCTTCAAACAGTCCAAGAAAGAAGCACGGGCCCTCAGGTGGCTGGTTGATAGGAATCGAAACTTTTCATCCCATGAGTTCTGGACTCTAGTCTTCAAAAACTAATGTCTACAAGTCTCCAGATGACTTTTAAAGAGACTAAAGCCTTTTTAAAGTTTGTTTTTTTTTAAGGTTGCCTTAATATTTGGATAGAATTACTCTGTTGCCTCTCTTTAGGGTAAATGTTAATTGCTGCAGTACTCATAATAAGCCCCATCAAATAAGAAGTTTGAATTACCTTAGGGGTAACCTCTATATATTTTTATACTGAAAAAAAGGAAATATCTCTTTTGGAAACTGTTCATCTTTGGTTTACATGTTTGGGCCCACAGGTCCCTGCTGCCTTTTGTAGAAACAGACTGATGGTAGGGTCAGAGCATTCACCACTGCCGGCAAGACAGGGAGGTGCTGTGGATTCCTGATACTGAACTCACTATCTGCAATTTATTGGTGTTTGGCAAGCGCCGTGTCCTGACGCTGAGCATGAACATGAAATGCATTAGAACTTGGCAATGAGTGATTCCATCTGTTGGTTTCCAGGGCCATAAGTGAGTAATAAAAGCTGTGTGGAGTTTATGTGCGATTTACTCTTCCAGTCAAAAGAACATATGTACGCTTCGATCTTCTCCATGCGCTCAGTCACCTTTGCCCTTTGGTATTTTCATCCTGCCCTGCACCATCTCCCTCTCCTTCCCCCAGTTTCTTGCAAAGTGGAATGTCTTGTTGCAGACATGCCTCCTCCTTGTGTGTTTTGATCTGTGAGATGTTCCCAGTTACCCCTACAACAGCTGAGCAGAATCGTAACAAGAATGTATGAGCCGGGCTGGACAGCCTGAATGAATGTTTGGATCAATAGGACAGTAGAGATAAATGTCCCCACTTGTTCTGATTTGGTGCAAGCTGCTTTGGCTGTGCCGAGGGTGTTGTGTAGCTTGGTGGGCAGCCTCACGAGTTTTCAAGCATTCCCTGTCTTTTCCGATGCAGTCATGCAGTTTCAGCTGTCTTGTCTGCAGCATATATTGGGGCTGCATGAGATGAGGGGAAAACCCTGGCTCACTATTTTCTTTTTAAAGTCAGGTTGGGACAACTTCTAGATGATTTTAAAGCCAGTTTTCACCTGATGTGCTCTGACTTTGCCTGGGAGCTCTTCCCAGCTTGGTGCTTGGTGGTCACTCCGGTACACAGAGGACCCTTATTGTGCTGGGATCAAACCTGAGGCTCTCACCTGCGAAGCATATACTCTAGACCTTTGAGCTGTCCCCCTAGCCATGACTTTGGTGTTCTTTACTGGGGAAAAGACGTAAACTTGGGAGATAGGAAGTGTCCCTGACCATAATGAGGAAAATTAGGAGCACTCTCTGCTGCCAATACCCCTCATCATAGGCTAGATCATTTATGTTCCTGGCATGGTCAAACTTTAAGTCTCTGTCCCTCTGTCTCTCTATCTCTGTCACCCTCCTACCCCATCTCTCTCTCTCTCTCTCTCTCTCTCTCTCTCTCTCTCTCTCTCTCCCAGAAAAATGAGGACTGAAACTCAAACACTCTCTTAGACTCAAAAATGATCATAATACTGGTAGGAGACAATATCAATGATTGGGTTCTTTTCTGTCCAAGCTCCACTTTGACCTAAACATGGAAGTGATACACTGTCATTTGAAGTTTGCTTTTATGTATGAAATTCTTTGTCAAAAATTGTTAAACTTAATTTTCTAAGTGTTTTAAGAGTTACCATTTCAGAGCCATTATATGTTTTTAAGGGACGTACACTCTGCATTGTAGCATACTTATGGGTCGTATTGAGGATGGATAAATCTATTTATCTCCCTGCCCTTTTATCTGATAATATCATCAGAAAAAAGGATCGAAAAGGGGGATTGTTAAAGACCACATTTTAAATTGTCTATTGAATGATTTTTTTCTCATAAAAGAATGCCCAAGATATGATTTATACTTCAAGTGAAATATTATCATGGTAATTTCAATTCTCAATAAATGCCTTCACCAAAAACCTGTGCTTATGTACTGTATATGAAAACCCCATATTTCATGCTTTAAGAAAAAAATCTTGGTTCTTCATTGAGTGCATAAATAAAACTTTTCCTAAATTTTCTAAAATATATAACTGAAAAAATTTAGTTAGTGAAATCACTGACCATTTAATTTAGTATTAATTTTTGTTAGAGGAAAGAGCATGGAAGAAAAAACTTCATGGGATTGAAAATGGATTGTATTTTGAGAATTCGTTACCACTTTTCTTAGAGGCTAAATCTCTGCTAACATTGGTTGTTTCCGATTACTTTTATATATGCTATTCTCACTGGGGTGAGGAGTTTTCTCATTGTCATTTTGATTTGCATTTCCCTGATAATATGCGACGATAATAACCCTGTCATATGCCTAGTGACTGTCTATGTGCTTCTTCACTGAAAGATGTCTTTTCTTCTGTCCACATTTTTAATGGGATTATTGGACACCTCAAAAATCTGAGATTGGTCTTCCATACAACCCAGTTATTCCACTTCTTGACATCTACCCTTGGAAAACAAAAAGAGTAACTTGAAAATATATATGTATACTCATGTTCATTGAAATGCTGCATACAATAGCCAGGTATGGAAACCACCCAAATGCTCAACAATATAAGTGGATAAAGAGGTGGTGGCTATATATACACAATGGAATGTTACGCAGCCACAAGAAAAGATGAAATCTTGCCTTTTGTTGCAACTTGAATGGACCTGAAAGGTACTGTGTTAAGTGAAGTATGTCGGAGTGAGAAGGACAAGTATTGGGTGACATCATTTGCTGATATAAAGAAAATAAGAAAATTCAATGCACTGAATGTTGACCTTTGACCTTTAATTAAAACACTGAGATTATCAAGTGGTGGGGTACAGAAGAGTCAAACCGGAAATGACATATGGACAGTGGTAGAGGAAGGGTCTTGTGCACGTCGGTTGAAATGAAGGTGCAGTAATTTTGTATAGCCAAGCCATAAATGTTAACATTACTGTAATCACCCAATCCAAATTATCTGTAGCACTGTAGCACTGTCATCCCATTGTTCATCGATTTGCTCAAGCAAGCCCAGTAACGTCTCCATTGTTGAGACTTCTTGTTACTGTGTTTGGCATATGAAATACGTTACGGGGAGCTTGTCAGGCTTTGCTGTGTGGGCGCGATACTCTGGATAGCTTGCTGAGCTCTCCGAGAGGGGCAGAGGAATCAAACTTGGGTTGGCCATGTCGGCCGTGTGCGAGGCAAATGCCCTACAGCTGTGCTATCGCTCCATCCCTGACCCAAATTATAATAAAAATAAATAAATAAATAATATTGCAAGTAAAATAAATGAGGGTTTCTTGGGGACTGTATCTCTTGATTCATTACATTTGAGTGGGTTGTGTATGCATATTTTGTAATAGGACTTTCAATATCAGTTATCTTGTCTGATAACTGCTGTCATGTCCCATGGCAGTAGGATTTCTGACAGCAAAATGGGAGCTTGCTTTTTGAGTATCACATAGGGCTCTGATTTTATTCTATTTGCATTGATCACATCCTACCATGCCTTTCTTTCGAGTTTACTGTGTTCATTTTTGAAATGTGATTAAGGAAGTAGTCTGTGTCTCTGGCCTGTTGTGGGGAATGGCTTGTGGCTGTGAAAACTGTTCAGTGCAAATTTATTGAGTGCCTCAGGTGTTTTTCACCTGGATTTCTCTCAAAGACAAATTTACTAAGTAAAGCGACAAGCTAGATGGAGTACAGCTGGATATAGCCCAAAATCTAATGAATAAATAAAACCTCAGGACTGTTGAAGAAAATATTGACCAATGCTAGTTAATTGTTTTCACTTCTACATCTGAAACCTTTGGTCATATAGTAAATACAATACTTCAGAACCTGATGCTCATAGGTTTATTTGTTTTTTTATTAAAAGATAGATTTAAGGGGCTGGAGAGATAAAACAGAGGGCAGGACATTTGCTTTGCATGCAGCCCGTCTGGGTATGACTCCTGGCACCTCATATGATCCCCAAGCCTAACTAGCAGTGATCCCTGATCACAGAGCCAGTAGTAAGACTTGAGTGAACCAGATGGGATCCTGCCATAAAGGAGAATAGATTCAAGTAACTAAAATATAGTGGATGTCATTATCACAATTAGTAACAGACAATATATGCTGTGTTCTGTTTATTTAGAAATAAAAATAAGCACTGTTGCTACACAGACACATTATATATCACACACAGGGGAATAAGCCCAATATGTAAAGAACACTGTGTGGGTCCAAGCACAGTGCAGACTTGAACTTCAAATAAATGTCCAGGATAGTATTTTTATTAAGAACTCTGATTAGGGCTAGGAATATGGCCTGGTGAGAAAGTCATTGCCTTGCATGCATTAGACCTGAGTTTGAGTTCCAACATTGCAATAACAATAATAAAAGTTTAAAAATAAAGATCATCAGTACTGCACATCATTCTTGCTAAAAAATGACACTTCATTAGGAGAACTTTGCATTACACTTGATGAATGATGTTGATTATCTGAAAAAAGATGGGTACAACTGCATGAGTAACATCTGTTTCTTGGAATCCTTAATGTATGCAGTATAAAAGTTTAAAGGCTAACAATAATGGTGATTACTTCATATGAAGTAACTTTGTAGTCCTGGGTACTTATTATTTATTTGGGGAGATACTAGAGATCAAAGCCAAGGCTTCATACAAGTGAGCATGCGCCCTACCTCTGAGCCTCATCTCTGATCACCCTGAATATTTTCTGAAGAATTTCTTATTCTTCTTTAAGAAATTTCTGTTGTTTTCATGCTTTGTGGTTATCATTAGTGATAATATCTTTACTGCTAAATTATAATAGAACTGTATTTTTTCTTCTGATTACAGACATAAAGCATATTTAAAAAAACTCAGAGGGAACAATGGCTTATGAGTTCTGACACTAAAGTGAGAAAGATCAAAGAAAAAGAAGTGATAAAGGCCTGGTTTTATGCTTTGCTTTTGGTTTTTGGGCCACACTTGGCAATGCTCAGTGATTACTCCTGGCTCTGCTCCCAGGAATTACTCCTGGCAGTACTTGGGGGACTCTATGTGAAGCTAGGACTGAACTTGGGTCAGCCGCATGCAAGGCAAGTGCCCTAACCACTGTACTATCTCTCTGGCCCTAAGACCAGACTTTAGTTCCTACTGTCCAGTGTAATATCTTTATTACCATGATCAAGTATTTGATCCGCTTCTCAGCTTCACTTTGCTTATCTGTAAAATAACTACTATGATACCTATTATAAAATGTGACCTCCCTGTGAGGCTGGCTATTAAATAAGCTGTTAGTCATACTTAATAGGATCTGTACCTGCCAGGCTCTCTGGGGCTAACACTTGTCTGTGAAGATCTTGATTGAGACCTATCCAGAAAAAAAGAATGACCAATAATAGTACCAGGGATGAAGTCTTTTGTTTTTCACTTGGTGATTTTACAAATCTTTATTGTGAGATAGGCATTCTGCAGGGCACCATGGCAGGTAGAAATAATACATGGGAACAAGAGAAATGAAAGTTTGTGGGAAA